CCCAGGCTAGAGTGAGTGCGTGTGTAGCCTCGCTCACAGACAACCTTCAATCCTGGGCTCAAGCGATCCTCCTGCCTCGCGCTCCCCAGTAGCTGGACTACAGCATGTGCCACCATGCCCAGCTAATTTTTTCTATGTATTTTCGTTTTCCCAATAATTTCTTTCTATTTTTTAGTAGAGATGGGTCTCGCTCTTGCTCAGGCTGTTGTCGATAGTCTGACCTGGAGCGATCCTCCCACCTCAGCCTCCCAGAGTGCTAGGATGACAGGCATGAGCCACCACACCTGGCCAGTATTTTTAATTTCTAATCAACATACATGGGTAAGACCTAAAGTTAAGGGGAAACAATGGCGAATAGGTCATAGTGCTTGTTCTCCAAAATTAGAAAAATATGTAAATATATATGTACATCCATAGAATTTAGAACTAGACTATAAACTAAAGATTCTAGTTTTATGTTAAAACTTTTAAAAAGACTATTACCTGAAAAATTTTTTGCACAGATGAAATAAAAGTGTCCAACACGTCAGGGTTTAGAAAATCTTCTTTGGTAGCAATTCGTCCATTCAAATAGTAGCTAAATTATTCAGAAAATATTCAGTTAAAAAACAGGACAAACTTTACGTTCTGACCTTGTTTTCCTACCTCTCTCACCACATATTTTGTATTTTTTATTGAGACAGAGTCTCACTCTGTCGCCAGGCTAGAATGCCGTGGCGTCAGCCTCACTCACAGCAACCCCCAACTCCTGGGCTCAAGCGATCCTCCTGCCTCAGCCTCCAGGTAGCTGGGACTACAGGCATGCGCCACCCTGCCCGGCTCATTTTTTCTATATATTTTTCTTAGTTGGCCAATAATTTCTTTCTATTTTTAGTGGAGACAGGGTCTTGCTCAGAGCTGGTTTTGAACTCTTGACCTCGAGTGATCCTCCTGCCTCAGCCTCCCAGAGTGCTGGGATGAACAGGCGTGAACCACCACACCTGGCCTCACCTACATATTATTAAAAAAAAAAAGGCAGAAATTCTATCGAGGAAAGACCAATACAGAAGGGTGATATGAAGAAGAGTCCATTCCATCTTGAGTCCATTCTCTGTCTGGAGAAGACACAGTTAAGACAGTAGGTATCCACTCTGGGAGGCCGAGGCGGGAGGATCGCTCGAGGTCAGGAGTTCGAGAGCAGCCTGAGCAAGAGCGAGACCTCTCTACTATAAATAGAAGAAATAATTGGCCCAACTAAATATACAGGAGAAAAAATTGGGGACATGTGGTGATGCCTGTAGTCCCGCTACTCGAGAGGCTGAGGCAGGAGATCGCTGGAGCCAGGAGTCTGAGGTGCTGTGAGCGAGGCTGACACCACAGCACTCACTCTAACCTGGGCAACAGAGTATCTCTCTTTCAACAGAGTGAGACTCTGTCTCAAAAAACAAAAAAGGGAAATTAAAAATACTTAGTGGCTACAGGTGAGTTCTCTCTAGAAAATAAAATTTTCCAGGAAATTTCCAGAAATTTTCCAGGAAAATAAAATTTTAATTCTAAAAAAAATTAAAATTATACATTTTTAAATTAAATAAATAAAAAAAAACCCTTAGTGTCATTAACTACCATAGACCACAAGAATGGGTTTGTTTACAGTCCTTCCATGCTGTAGTATTTATTCCAGTAAAAAAAAAAAAAAACTGCCTGAGACCTGAACCCCTGTGGACATATTTGGTAACTATGTAGGGTGGATGAATGGGTCTAGGATACAGGGTTTGGATGCTGTGAATGTTCAACGCTGTGATTGGTCAGCGTGTTCGCGGTTGTCATGGAGACTTTCCTGTTGCCAGGTGGTCCAGGAGACCAGGCCCAGCAAGAAGGTGTGGTTGGGAGAGACCAGCTCTGCGTATGGGGGCGGGGCGCCCCTGCTCTCCAACACCTTTGCGGCTGGCTTTATGTGAGTAGAGGCCCCCACGGGCCCTGAGACCCTCCCTTCTATTCCGCTGAGACCTCCAATGCCACAAAGCAGATCAAAAACGGTGCCAGTGGCTCAGCCTCAAAGTTTGTCCCCGATTTTGCATGAAAATGAATTGCTAAAGGTCGTGGGGCATCTTTGACAGGTGTCTCAAGTGAATCCTGGTATCACTTAATGGTCTTACAATAGGCCGGGGGCGAAGGCTCACGCCTGTCATCCCAGCACTCTGGGAGGCCGAGGCGGGAGGATCGCTCAAGGTCAGGAGTTCGAAACCAGCCTAAGCAAGAGTGAGACACAAATCTCTACTAAAAATAGAAAGAAATTAATTGGCCAACTAAAAATATATAGAGAAAAAAATTAGCCGGGCGTGGTGGTGCATGTTTCTGGTCCCAGCTACTCGGGAGGCTGAGGCAGGAGGATTGCTTGAGCCCTGGAGTTTGAGGCTGCTGTGAACGAGGCTGATGCCACGGCACTTGAGACCCAGCAACAGAGTGAGACTCTGTCTCATAAAAAATATATATAGATAGATAGATAGATAGAAAAAATGAACCAAGCATGGTGCCACATGCCTGTAGTCCCAGCTACTCGGGAGGCTGAGGCAGGAGGATCGCTTGAGCCCAGGAGTCTGAGGTTGCTGTCAGCCGAGCTGAAGCCATAGCACTCTATCCTAGGCAAAGAGTGAGACTCTGTCTCAAAAAAAAAAAAAGAATCCTCAATAGTCCAAGTTATTAAACAATTTGTTGCCTGACTGCAAAGTTTACCAAAAGAAGAAATATTGATTAGTTCATCATATCAAGGATTCTGAGTCTTAGGGTATCTGTGATAAAATTTCCCATCAGAATGAGGAAGTTAGTGTTTGCCTGATCCTAAAACATTAACCAGACTATTTCTGGGGAATAAAATTCTCACGCATATATGGTTTATGTGTGTGTATGTGAATATCGCATATAATGATTACATGATAACATAATAGAATTTTTTTTTTCTAGTTTCCTGGAGGCTGGGGGAGATGTCATTGATTCAGTGACATGGCATCAGTAAGTATATCTCCCATTCTTAATACTAGCAAAGTAATGCTAGCTTTATTTATTCCCTAGTTTTCAAAAAGTTATTTCCATTTAACGGTAATTGGTTCTATAGTACAAATAAGAAACAAATGGTGCCTCAAGAAACACTGTCGAATTTTAATATTAATAAAACAAAAATTTTACCTGTTTTTAAAATACTATGGTGGTTTCTGTCAATATAAAGATCAAGGCATCCTACCAAGGAACCCGTGGAAATTACAAGTAGCTAAAACAAATTGCTTGCCAAAGAACGGGTAACCAGTGGATACCTACTGTCTTTTTTTTTTTTTTACTCGAGAAGGCTGAGGCAGGAGGATCGCTGGAGCCAGGAGTTGAGGTTGCTGTGAGCGAGGCTGACACCACAGCACTCACTCTAGCCTGGGCAACAGAGTGAGACTCTGTCTCAA